AATAGCTGCGAGCAGCAGAAGCTCTTTGAAAGCGTCTCGAGCGAGACGTGGTGACGGGGCGCAGGGGCCTATGAGAAGGTTCGGGGTGTCTCTGGACAGCGCGATGAATGAGGCGTCTGGAAGGGCAGGAGCAGAAACTACCGGGAATCTCCTCTCTGTCTCTTGCTCTTCCTGCCCTGCCCCCTCCCCCCTCCCTTCCTCCCACCCTCTCCCCCGCCCCCCCCCAGGGTGGTGACCCCTGCTCTGCAGGATTCTGTGCAGCTGCTTGCTCCCCTCCTGCTCCCCTCGCCTCAGGACGAGCCCAGGCCTGGAGTCTGCGCTCCTCTCCCTGCCAGCGCACCAGGATGGCTGGGAAGGGCCTGTCTCAACTCCTGGCTGTGGGGAGGCCACTTCCTGGGGCAGCTGCAGCCAGATGTCCATCTCGGTCCACCCTGCTGAGCTGGGGAAATGGGGTATCCCAGGAACGGAAGCCCCCCCAGAAGATGTGGGGACAGTTTCTCAGGGTGGCTCACAAGGGGCTCGTGTGCTCACGACTCTGTCCACAGTCTGTGCTTCATGCTTTTTAAAAAAAAAAAAAAAAAGTGTATTTATGTATGCACACAAGAGCTGGGGTGCAGGCCAGAGGTGGGGGGGTGAGAGGACCCACCAGAGACAGATGGGGAGCAGAACAGGCAGACGGACTGAAATCCACTGCTGAGGGGGGCAGCGGGGAGTCAGGAGAGGTCTGCTGCGCCCTGTGGGTAGCTCCCTGGCCGGCCGGGGGATTGAACTCGTGCTGCAGAGGCTGGTGATAGCTTCATAGGTTGTGCCTCAACCCCTTGCGCCACCGGGGAGGCCCCTCCATGCCTCTTTTACCGAAGCATTAGAAAGCAGACATTTGAGCAAAGTGGGAGAAAAATCCTTTGTGTACTGGCGCGAGCTTTTGGACCTGACACTCGTTTGGGAGAGACCAAGGGTGATTTCAGACGGTCAGTAAGACGACGTGGCTCACGCTTCGGAGGGGCCCCTTCTGAGGCGCCTCTCTGCTTCCCTGCCGTGCACCCCACCCTGCTCCGGGCCTCGGGGCTGATTCTCAGCCGTCGGAGGAGAGGCAGGCGAGGCCGGGCGAGCGGGTGGCCGCCTCCCTGGGCTGCGAGCAGTGAGCTCCCAGGCTGTCAGCGCTGAACCCCAAGCCCCCCGCCCAGCCCCACTTACCCAATACAACAGGAAGTCTGCGCCCCAGGGCTGGCCCCGCCCCCTCCCCCTCTGTGGCTTTTGCCGTGGCATTTCCCCCAGGAGAAGCGATGGAGGCTCCACGCGGAGAGACGGCCCAGAGATGCCCTTCCCTGGCGCTGGAGAGAGTGGGTTCCTGGGGAATTCCAGCTCTGCGAGCCTCTGTGTCGTGGGGCTGCTCTCAGCATCGCAGCAAATGACTCCTCTGGTTTCTGTTCTCCCGCGGCCCCGAGACGGGAAGGCGGGCACCAGAGAGCCGCCCCGGGCGCCCGGCCCCCTGAGCAGGAGCGGGGCCGCCGTGTGTGCTCCGGGAGAGCGGGCCCCGCGCGCTCCTGCTTCTGTGCGGAACCTCGGAACCTCGTCTGAACTCGCTTCTGCTGTGAAGAGCGGCTGCCTTGCAGCCCCGGGGGTCGCCCTTCTCAGAGTCCAGCCTCACGGCACAGTGTCGGGCCGGCGTGCGTGTGTCACCCTCACACTCGCTTCCCTGGTCCGCGCCCGCGCCGGGTCGGGCCGGCCAGTGCCAGCCCCACAGGGGACGTGGTGGACGGGCAGGACTGGTCTCTCCCTGGAGGTGCAACGGCAGCCCAGCCCGTGCCGTTCGGGTCGGGGAGCCCCAGGGTGCTCGGCCACCGTGTCTGGGCACGCGCAGGAATTCGAGTTTCCGGATCCCAGTTTTTCTCAAGATTCAAGCCAAGAGCCAAGTCAGTTACTTTGGGGGTGCGTCTCCCCCTCCGGCCCCCGTGGCCAGCACTGGGGACGATGGCCTGAGCACGGCCGGGCGCCCTGGGGCGCTGGGCAGCGTGTGTTGGGGTCCCGCAATGCTTTGCGAGGCTTATTCCGTGAGGGCCTGGGGAGACAAAGAGTGCATTTGTTTTGTGGAAAGGGGGGGGGGGCGCAGGGGACGGAGCAGAAGCCCAAGGCTGTGCACTGAGGCTTTCAACTCTCCCGGGAAGTGCGGGCTCCGGGGCGTGGAGGAGGGAGGCGCTTGCAGAGGCCCCGACCATGGGACCATGGCCGGCGGGAGCTTCCCCGTCTGAAGGGGGAGTTCCGGGCCCCTCATTCCAGCTCAGGGGTCGCAGACCCACACCCCCTCCCCCAGCAGAGGCCGCAACCCCAAGTGAGCGGTGCCCGACAGCCGCGTCCAGGCCAGGCCGTGTGCCGAGACGCCCCCAGGGCGCCCTGACGGTGGAGGGTGGGACAGGCTGATGTTGTGCCACCCCACGGTGAGCCCCTGGGGCTCAGTTTCTGTCCAGAAGACGCGTCTCAGCCTGTGGGTGAGGGCAAGCGAGGCTGCTGGGGCCGCGCTCCTTACACGCGCTCTCGGGCTGACCCCTGCCCGCCGGCTCCTGCCCCTGCCCTGCCCCTGCTAGGAGGCCCTGCAGCTGCGCAGGCTCCTGCTCTCGCTGTGTGCCCAGGGCCCCAGCCCCCAGTCCCCCCGCCCGCAGCAAGGGACAGCCGCAGGAGGGCCTGGCAGAGCAGGTTTCTTCAAAGCCGAGGAGAATAAATGGAAGGTGATGCCCAAGCTGGGGAAGAATGTGCCCTTGCGTGTCCTCCTGGCTGTAAGGGAAGCTTCTGAATTGCCAGTGGGCCGCCCGGGTCCTGCTGCCGCCCTCCCGAGAGCCAGACAGCGGGGCCGCCCCGAGCCTGTAGCACCACTGCCCTGCCCGCGGACCCAGAGGGCGGTGGGCACAGCCTCCTGAGGAGCCCCTCCCGCCCTCTGCCCCCGCTGGCCTCTCCGTGATGAGCCAGCAAAGGCGGTTGGCGCACCCTGGTGCTGGCCACGGTCAGCCTCCCCCCTTGGCCTGTCACCAGCCTCCCTGCCATCCTGAGGTGTGAGCGCCCCGTGCAAGTGTGGGGGCCGCGTGCAGGTGTGAGTGCCCCATGCGGTGTGAGTGTCCTGTGCAGGTGTGGGCCCCCGTGCAGGTGGGAGCTCCTGTACGGTGTCCCTGCGCCCTAGAGTGGACAAGATTAGGAGTCAGCAGGACGCGCAGAGTTGGCAGGGAAATCGCTGCAGCCGAGCGCACAGGAAGGCTCCCCCCACCCCCCCACCCCGGCCCGGCGTGCATCACTGCGACCTTGAGCACTCTGGGTCTGCTTGGAGGTCGCGGGGGTGTAACTCTCAGGCTTGAGCAACAGCGGCTTCAGCGCAGACTCCACTGCCAGCAAGGCTCCAAGGCGAGGGGGCCGGCCAGGGACTGAGACAGACGCCCCTCGGGGCTCCGGCCCCTCCGCAGACGGGCTCCCTGGCCCCGGCTGACGCGGAGGAGCACCAGCTCACGTCTCCTCAGTCAGAGAGAGCCGGCTGCCCGCTCCCCTCGCGTCCCCGTGGGTCAGGCCCTTTCTCTGTGCCCCGGAGGGCCGTGTTCAAAGGGGAGCTCAGCCCTCAGTCACCTTGGCTGCTCCCAGATTCCTCCCCCGTCACCCACCATCGCCTGGTCCGGCCACTGCCCGAGCCCTCGGTGCCGGGGACACGGGCGCCAGCCAGGCCGTGGCCCCTGGAGGGCACCACCTCGGAGCCCCGCAGCCCTGAGTGGGCTGGCCCAGCCGGCTGCCTGTTGCTGGGCTCCGGGGCTGCCACCCAACGGGCTCGTTGTAAGACCGAGGGAAGCCGGGTCACCCCACTAAACGGCCGATGTCTTGGGGCGTCTTCTCCCTCAGGCTGCCGAGGGCTCTCCCGCGAGGTGGGGCGGGGCCGCCTGAGGCGGGAGGCAGGAGAGTGACCGCTTGAGCCCCTCCCTGTGGGGCCTGGACGGAGCCCAGCGCGAGCGTGAAGGAGTGTAGGGGCCGACTGTGCCGGAGCTGACTGCCCCGTCTCTCATTTTAGAGGCGCCAGCAGGACTGTCCGGGGCAGCAAGGGCCACTGATGGCCCTCCGCGCGGCCTGTCGTGTGGGGCATGGTGGGACGGGCCAGCCTCGCTCTGTCACTTCTCAAGTCGGCGCGATGGCGCATAACCTCGGGTCACGGGGCCACTGCACGAGGGCGGGAACGCCAGGCCCCCCCGAGGTGTCCGGAGTCAGGCGTTGGGCAGGGGCTGACTCTGGGGGGTCCATGCAGCGGGCTCTGCACCGAGTGTCCATGTGGCGCCTCTCCCTGGGAGTCCAGGGCCAAGGGGCCCAGCTTGCAGGCGGGGAAGCCGGGCTCCCCTGGGGAGCACCCACGGCCCTCGGCCCAGAGCTAGGATCTGAGTTCAGCGAGCGAGCGAGGGGCTCCCGCCGTCATCCAGCCGCTGTGCTGCCCCCAGGGCTGATTCTGGCTCCCAGCTGTGTAGACGGGAGCACCGGCAGCGAGCTGGACCCCCGCTCAGACATCACCAATGGTGGCGGGTCGTGGCTTCTGCGCGTCCACGGCGCTGCCGCTGGGGTCAGAGTGTGGAATTAGGGGGCAGGAGAGAGGAAGCAGGACAGGCAGGGGCTTGTGGACGCGAGCGTTGCTCTGGGCCTTGCTCGGGGGGCAGCGATGCAGGGCAACTGCGAGAAGTGAGCACCCGGGCTGTGGGCTCCGTCCCGCCCCCCGAGTCCAGGGCGGGCTGCAGGTGCTGCGGGCGGAGCCGCCAGGCCAGGGTGGTCAGGACCCGTGCACCGCCTGGAGCCGGCTGGGCTGGCCCCTGCTGCGCGCCAGCGCCTGCCTCTGCAGACCGTCCACTGGGTTCCGTCTGCGGCCGGGGCTCCCGTGTCCGGAGCGCCCGCCTCCGGGTGCCTGGTCTGCGGGGACGGGTGGGCAGGGGCGTCACTGGGCGGGGAGTGCGTGTGCACGCCGCTCACCTTGTCTTCTGTGCCCTCTCTCGCAGCTCCAGGGCTCCCTGAAGAGGAAGCAGGTGGTCAGCTTGTCCCCCACCAACACCAAGAGGCCCAACGGCTTTGTGGACGGCGCGTTCCTGGACATCAAGCGAATTCGCATCGGGGAGGCCCTTGGCGCGGGCCCCGGGGCGCTGGCAGTGAGTAACGGGCAGAGCCAGGTCCCGGCGGGGGCCGCACCCCTGAGCCAGGGGCCCCTGAGGAAACCCGGCGCCCCGGCCCCCCTCCCGCTCCCTCCCGGCGACGGCGGGTTCGGTGCCGCCTTGAAGGAGGTGAAGAAGGAGCCAGGGGAGGTGCTGTCCTGCAGCAAGCATGCGGACGGCCCGGCCGCCCAGGACAGCCTCTTCTCCCCCCGCTTCGGGGAGGACCCCGCGGAGCCGCTGATGGACCCCGAGCTGCAGGAGCTGTTCAACGAGCTGACCAGCATCAGCGTGCCGCCCATGAGTGACCAGGAGCTGGAGAACATGATCAACGCCACCATCAAGCAGGACGACCCCTTCCAGCTGGAGCCCGGCCAGCCCAGCCAGAGGGGCACGCCCAGGCCCGCGCTGCCTCTGGACACGGCGGCCGTCAAAAGCGAGTTCTCACCCGGCCTGGCCCAGGGCCCCGTGGGCTCGCCTCAGCTGAGGCCCCCGTCCGCCGGCCCCGCCTTCTCCATGGCCAGCTCCGCCCTGTCCACGTCCTCCCCCATCCCGGTGGCCCCTCAGGGCCAGGCCACACTGCAGACCGCCGCGGGGACCGGCCGGGGCTGGCAGGAGGCGTCCCACGCCCAGCAGCTCAAGCAGATCGCCGCCCAGCGGCAGCAGCACACCCGGCTCCTGCAGCAGCACCAGGCTGCCAGCTGGCCGGCCCTGCCCGCGTCCACTGGACCCTCCCCGGGCCCCTTCGGGCAGGAGAAGATCCCCAGCCCTTCTTTCGGCCCGCAGGGCTCCCCCCGGCCTGGGGCGGCTGGCAGTGGTGGCCAGGCCAAAGTCATGGCCAGCTACGTGTACAAGGCCAGCCCCTCGGCCCAGGCCGGGCACCTGGACGCGCTGATGCCGCAGAAGGCCCAGGACCTCAGTCGCGGCTTCCTCGGCAGCCCGCACGCGGCCCCGGAGCCCCGGCTCGGCAGCACCAAGCCCCTGTTCCACTTCGGGTCCGACCCAGCGAGCCAGCAGGCGCCTCCTGTGCTGGCCCCCCAGGGCAAGTCTGCCCTCCTGCACTACGGCCCGCAGCCACCGCCAGCGGCCCAGGCCGCCCCGCCGCTGCCCAGCCAGCCCCTGCTGCGGTCGCCCCTGCCACTCCAGCAGAAGGTCCTGCTCCAGAAGATGCAGACCCCGCCCGTCACGGGGCTGGGCTATCAAGTGGCCCCGCAGCACCGGCAGGTAAGACCCCCGGGTGGCCCGGCGAGGCTATGCGGCTGCGGTCGCTGAGTTTGGGCTGGATCAGGTCGCCAAGGCCCTGTGGTCTTGCTGGGCCCCGGGAAGACCCCTGAGGCCTGCGGTCCTGCAGGCCTGGCTGGGACCTCCTCGCAGAGCCCGCGTGCAGGGTCTGTGGCGACCCGCTGGCTTCTCAGGAGCTGCGCTGTGTTTCCAGCCTGCGGGGCTGCCCGCAGCCAGCACTCGCTCGTGTCTGGCCCTGCCACGAGCAGGGCTACTCAGCCGTGCCTGGCGGCCCTGGAGCTGGCGAGGCGGCAGGGAGGGGGCACCCACTGGCTGGTCTGCGTCCCCACGCGTAACTGGACACGTCCTGGTGCCCATCGGGTCGCGTGAGCTGTGGCTGAACTTGTCCGTGGGGCAGCTCAGCCCTCAGTGAGGCGGGTCCTGCTGCTGGCACCCTGGGGGGGAGCCTGGCTTTGAAACCCTGGTCTCAGCGCTGGGAGGACAGGCAGGGGCGTGAGGGGGCTGGGGGGCTGGCCATCTCACCCACGGGGAGCCCTGCTGTGACCAAAGCCGCAGCTCGCGGTGTGCCCCGCTGTGGCTGGCAGAGAAGACGGGTTTTGTTCCGCTCAGACCTGCATGTGTCTTCAGAGCAGGCTGGACGGTGCCTCTGACTCCCGGAGACGGTGAAAGGGGCGCGTTTGGAGGAGAGAGGGAGGAGCCGGGAGGCCTGGCTGGCCCAGAGCTGCTCTGTGCGTGGCGTCTGGGGGACCACGTGCGGGTCCCGGCACAGACAGGGCGCACGGGCCAGCGTGGAGACTAGGGCCGGGGCCGGCGCCTTCCTCGCCCAGAGCGGGTGCTGCAAGCCCCTTGGACTGTGGCCAGCCCCCCCTCCACCCTCCACGCGCGACGCGGCAAGGGTCAGGCCGTCTGCGCGTGTATCCATGCAAGAGCGTGATCGTTCCAAGTGCAGATTGTGAAAACCGGACTCAGTGTAGAGTCGTGTCTATTCTGCAGCCTCTCGTGCTGCGATTCCGTGCAACATGGACACGCGGGGCTGCCACGGGGGCTGCCCACGGTCGCGCTAGGCGCCGTGTTGGCCTGGCCAGCCCCTGGCCAGGTCACGTCCCCTCCGACGTGCACTAGCCGGGTGAGCGCTGGCAGGTCACGGACCCTCACTCAGCCTCAGTTTCCTCGTCCGTATGTGCGGAAAGAATAAAATGTCCCAGGGTTTTTTCTTTTGGAGAATCGAATCAAATAATTCACCCCAGAGCCAGAACAGAGCTGGCTGTTGTGATGACTCTCCTCGAACAGCCACGGTGACACCTAAAGGCTTTGGTGTAAATCTCACATTCTTGCGTGCACAGTCTTAGGGAATCCCCCGCAGTCTCCGTCCGTCCCGCGACATGTGAGTGGGGAGTTACCCGCCCCCCACGCCTGCCAGTTCAGCTGGTTTTTTTTTTAAGATTTATTTATTTACACAAGCACTGGGCACAGTCAGAAGCGCGGGAGGGCGAGAGGATTCACCAGAGCCAGAGCGGGGAGCAGAGCAGGCAGAAGGACCGAAGGACACTGGTGAGGGGAGCAGCGGGCGGCAGGAGAGGTCTGCGCGCCACGTGGGACCCTCCTCCGGTGGCCGGGGAGCAGCCGGGGATCGAACTGGCACCGCAGAGGCTGCGGGCAGCTTCGCAACCCAGCGCTCAACCGCTGCAACACCGGGGAGGCCCCGCCAGTTCAGTTTTGAGCCTCTTCTTAGCCCTTCGCAGACCAGAGCTCCGTGTGCTGGGTGTCCCTGGCTCCCTCCCACCTTGTCATCCGAGCAGCTCACAGCCCAGAGCACAGCGGCCGGAGTCAGTGAGGGCGACAGTTAACTCCCGCGGGAAGGAAAGAAACACGGCAACAGGGGACACTGGCCTTGGCATCCCAACAGGAGGCGGCACTCCCGGGCGGGGAACAGCTTCTGTTATTCTCTCTGCGGTCTTTGTCCGCGCGCTGCGTCGTCAGTAAGAGCCGCGCGGCGCGAGCATTGGCAGGCGACGTAGCTTGTTGAATACCAACTTTCCAGCGACGGGAAAAAGGGGGTATGAGGGTAAGAAATCGATTTGATCCTGGCGATGGAAATGCAGGCGGGTGAATGGAAACCCTGACAGATATTTACCTGTGATGTGCATTAATACGGGTGGCGCAGGCGCTGCCCTTCGCACTGTTCTAATTAGTTGGGCCTTTTCTAATCAGATGTCAGATGAGATCAGTTTAGCAGAGGGGAGGGCGGCTTCTTTTTGTGCAAAAGCCCATCTAGCAGTCTTCCGGACATTTGCACGGTGATGGTTAATTAAAGTCAAGCGCCAAGACGTGAGATTCAGAAGCTGTTTACTAGGAGGGGTTCAAGGTTTGAAACAAAAGGCTGTACAAATATTTAGACTTCAGGGATCAGAGGGAGGCAGTGGGAGTGAGTCATCCTACTCTCTTATGTTGTGCTTTAAGCAGGGAAAACCAGATCCACACGCACACGCACACGCACGCACGGCTCTCTGGGTACGAATTAGGAAACTCTGGCTGAATGTCTCCATTTATGCAATGAATCTGAGCAATAAAGTGGCTCCTAATTCTCCAAGCAATCAATCGAGTGCGGCATCACAGGGAGCTGGTGCTTTCCTGCCCACCCTGCAGAATCACGCTTCCAGCCCCCGAGGACAGAGCCTGGGGGTGGCTGACCTGCTCCCCCAGTCTCCGGGATTTCCCACTGGCCGCCTTCCACAGGAGCCTGGGTCCAGCCCCATCAACACGAACCTTGGCCGCCTGAGACCCCGCAGCACGGGGTGAGGTCGCTCCCGGGGCGCCCACCTCCACCCGGCCCCTGGCCACCCACATTGTCCAGGCCCCTCCCCTGGCCTGGACGCCTCCTCTCTCAGGCTTCCCCGCAGGCTGGTGTGGGGCTCGCCCGGCCCCTGGCCTCCAGACACCTGCTCCGTGCAGGGCAGGAAGGGGGCAGAGGATAGAGACCCTGGCGCTGTCAGGGTCCCGGCGCACACACTTTTCTGGAAGGGCCAAGGGCTTGCTGACGCCCGGCCCATCCCTGTCCTCATCTCTATCCAACGGCGTCCACGGGGCCGGCTTCTGCCCACCGTCCCTCCTCGCCCCCTTCTCACCAGCTCGCCCGCCTGCCTCCAGCCCTGCCTCTGGCGCCGGGGAGCACACGGAACCAGGGCTTCACCACATGAGCCCCCGCCTCGGCCCTTCTCCTTCCCAGAACCAAACCCAGCCGTGCACTGCCCGGCGCGCCGAACCTGCCCTCCGCTCTCCTGCAGGCCCGTTGGTGCCGCTCACAGGCACCTGCCCCCCACTTCTGCTGCCGCCCGTGCCCGGGGTGACCGTGACCCCTGTGGCCTCGGGGGCAGGCTGGGCAGTGTCCTCACTGCACTCTGGGGGTCCAGGCCGGGGCTGGGGTCAGCTGTCTGTGCAGCCCGGCCCCCACCGCCACCCCGGTGCCGCGTCCCTGGTCGCCCTCCCGTGGGTGTCTGCCCAGCCGCCCGCCAGCAGCACCGTCTCTGGAGTGTCAGCGGGAGATTGGGTTTAACCGCCAAGGTTAATCAGGCGAGGACCCGCCGGGGCCTGTGGGACGAGTGACCGGGGCGGTGACTGCAGGTGCAGGTGGTGACCGTCGTGCCGGCCCTGGTAACGCGTGTCTGTGCCTCGGCACGGGCAGGATGGACCGGGGTGGAGGAAGCACAGGAGCCTCGTACGAGTGACCATGTGACTGAGGCATTGCCGGGGTCAGTGCGGCGACCGGACATGCGGACAGCTGAGAAGGCGCGTTCTTGCTGACAGTCAGCTACAGGAAGAAGAGAAAACTTTTGAACCAGAAATGCCCGCGGGCGAGAGGGTTTTTGTGTTGTTCTTCTTCTGCTCTCTTGGGCGGGCATTTGCTTCATAAGCTGCCTGTCCCCGGGGAGAGCCTGTCCGTGGCCTCAGCCGCATCCTTCCCTCCGTCGCCACCTCAGGCCGGCAGAGTGGGGGATGTTCAGCTTCTGAACGAACCTTGAAGGCCACAGGGCCTCGAGCAGCCTAACCCCGGCTCGCGGGTCGCAGTGAGCGTTTGAGGCTGTCCTGGGGTGAGTGGCCGTGAGTGGCCGGGCCGTCGGCGCACACACTCAGCTCGCAGGGCCCTGGGTGGGCGTCCCCGTATTCCGAGAAGCCCCCAGCGCAGACACGAGAGCTAGGACCAGGGCTCCAGTCCAGCCTGTGTCCACCACCCGAGGCCGCCCCTCAATGTCCCCTCCCTGACACCCGTCGTCCCGCCCTCGGGGGTGGTCAGGGCCGCGTGCTGCCGTCCGTGTTGAGCAGCGGCCGCAGCTCCTGGCACAGGTCACTTCCCAGCAAAGGCAGGTCCCGGGGCCCGGCCGTCCTCGAGGGTGCAGGAGAGAGGCAGGGGTGGGCACGGCCTCCCCGCCGGAGCCTCCGTGTGTCACCGGAGGACTTTGGAAACCAGCGAGAAAGCCGGATCCTTCCCTCTGCCTCCCCGCACGCGCACGCGCGTGTGTGTGTTTGTGTGTGTGACAGAGACCGTGTTGGCTGCGACGCAGGAGTCGGGGATGTGTTGAGCCGGAAGCACCAGCACCCACCGCTGGCCTGAGGCAGAAATTCTCTGTCTTTCTCCAGGTTTTGGAACAAGCATTGGATAAAACCAGGACAGTTTTCTTAGGAACTTTTCTTAGACGTGCGAATACCTGTGTAAACACGCATCAGGCATGGACTGAGAACATTTTCCAAATTATAAAAAGAGAAAGATCAGTTGTGTGCAGAGACGTTCGTTTCTGGAAATAAGCTATTTCCCGTCGCAGAAACATTCCTTGCAGCTTGGCAGGAACACGGCCCCTGGCCGAGGCGCTGGCCCTGGGCCGAGGGCACGCGTTCGGGCCGCGTGCACATTTTCAGCTCTTCTCCTGCACCTCGAGTTCCAGCCCAGCGACAGAGAGGCTAGGGTAAAGCGGATCCTTTTGGGGAGA